AAGACTTTAACAATATAAAAGATAGAATCAAGGGTAAAACTTGATTGATACAGAGAAAAACTCTCAAGACTAAAGCTCAAAGAACCAAGAAAATTCATTATTATGCAAAAACTTAGTCTAAAACCCGAGTTTGAGCCCTTATATAGGTCCGAGCAATTAAAAATAAAAAAATAACACGAAAAGTAATTTCCCGTCTTCCAGACCCGATTCCCGGTCTGTCCTGTTCAGTTCCTCGATCGGGGAATTGTATCTAGGGATGGCAATGGGTCGGGTTGGGTCGGGTTTTGCCAAACCCAAACCCAAACCCATGGGTTTATCTTTAAAAAAAAATCCGGGGTAAAACCCACTGGGTTTGAAAAACTCAAACCCAACCCAACCCGTTGGGTATCCGCGGGTTCATGGGTACCAACGGGTTTTGTCGTAAAAAATTTACAATTACAAGTTCTTATCAAAATTAAAGTCAAATATCAATCTTTCAATACAAATGATCCATATATAAAATACCATTCTAGAAAATTCAAGCAAATCACAAATTAACTATACAAATTGTTCAACACCAATCTAGAAAACTCAAGAAAATTGAAGCAAATCACAAATTATCCATAAATAACATGTTTAATTGAAAGCTTCTTTCTTTCAATTAAGTTTATTTACTCTCCACTCCATAACATCAACTTCATTCTACACAATTAAAAAGAAAAAATTAGACATGTCTCCACAAATATAAATAAGATTAGTTGTTTAGAATATTAAATATACCGAAAAAATTAATTATATGGATGTGCGGGTACCCACGGGCCGGGTTTACCTAAACCCAAACCCAACCCAACCCGGTGAATAGTGAACGGGTTTAAACCCAAACCCGGCCCAAAACCCGTCAACACGGATTTTACCCGCGTTGACCGGGTTGGGTCGGGTGGGTACCCATGGGTTCGGGTTTTGTTGCCATCCCTTTGTATCTTCCCTGCCGAGGGTTCTTTTGTTCACATTCCCCAAATGCCCCTCTCGATCCCCGGTCGGGGATTTGCCCTCCTCTGGCTGGTTGTCACTCCTTCCTTCCTCCCACTCCTCCTCACCAGTTCACGCCATCCCCCTTGCAATCCCCGGTCTGGGATTGACCTGCTCTTGCCGGGGATCTCTCATACTCGGTTGCTCCTGATGCCCGCACTACTATCGCATCAAAAATTGTTCGAGCGGTTTGAACTGCTCGCCCGGTTAACCAATCGGTTCACATACAATTTTTTTGTTTCATCAGTGACGACTAAATAAGTTGAGTGGGCCGGATTGGAGGCCAGTTGCTGGTTTCACCATTCAGACCAACCGGTCTGGGCCAGTTTTGACAACAATGACAATTACTCATTATCAAAACCAGTATTCTTAAGACCAAAGAGGGGGGGGCGGAAAAAGGGGCGAGGAAAGTTCTCCGTTCCTGGTTACCCATATATGGCATGTGGCAGGTCGGGTAATTTATCACGGGATGTCGGTCGGGGCAAATTGACTCGTATGAATATTGTAACTTAAAAGGCGAACATTAGAAATATCCTTTTTTCCATGAAAGATAAAGAAACAAACTATACAAAAATAATGTAGTTAAACTATTAGAGAATTTGAGGTTATCACATATTCACAACTCCAATATAGCTAAAATTTTAGGTAATAAAAATAATAGCTAAGTAATTTGAGTAAAATTAAATGCAATTTAGGCAAAAAAAGGGGTTTCGAATGGGTCGAGTTAGGGCATGTTAGGTCGACTAGAGTATACATGTCCGCCTCGCCATGCTTACAACGCGGGTATTATCCGCCCCATACAGGTTAAAGAAGTAAGGTAAAGTGGATCAGGTTGAAATTGTCATTCCTAATCACAAAAACGTGCTTTTCAAGGAATAATATATTTATCACTCAAAATATAGCAAAATAGATTTCATTGTGTAGATCCTAATTAATGTGTTTATTATGTGCAAACTTTTTAAAATTCTGAGTTCAAATGAAAGATATATTACATCGTATGACTATCATATTCTCGTGATATTATAGTGAAATATCACAACTAACACTTGTTTTGAAAGACTGTTTTTTTCTCAAAATATAACAAAATAAATATAATTGTGTAGATCATAACTGCATTCTTTGTATACATAACTGTTTAAAATCTAGGAAACATGACCCTACTAAAAAAATAGAGAATTAGGAAAAATAGACTTTAACTACTCATAAAGCTCATCTCTCTCCTCTGTGATTCATGACAGACCATGGTTCAGGAAACCGCACCGGACATCATACCGAATTACTTTTTGGTATGATATTTTATGGTATGACCGTGGTTCAATAGTTTCATACCGATAAATACCATTTTTGTAATAATAAAATAATTTTTTTGACAAAAAACCGTGTCGACAAAATTCAAGCACTGTTCCAGAGTAATACCGAACTGTATCGGATAATAAATACTAAATAATTATAAAATAACAATAAAAATAATAAAAGATATTAATTAAAATAATAAAACTAATATTTCTCCCCAAATTCTGTCACATCCTAATCTTATCTTCTTCCCCATCTTAATATTTAATTTCACCTCTCCTCTCTCTCTTTCAGGTTTGCGAGAAGTTACAGGAGGGGATCTTCCCCATCTAATTCCAACTCTCTTCTCCTCCCTGGGGCGGACCCACGGCTGTTTAGGGTGTCCCCGGACACCCCTAAATTTTGAGAAAACGATTATCCAACCTCCGGTGTATTGACAAAAAAATTATAATTGATAGTCGTGGACACCCCTAAATCTAAAAAAGTGATTATCCTACTCCCATCCTTTAGTTTGAGTATTAGAATATAAGTGAATGTTTGGGTATAATTCAAACCTAGGACACTTTTATTTTAATAAACATAATTTCCATTAGGCTACAACTCATATGTTATTCGATTTTAAACAATGTGTAATAGTATAATGTCATTCTCTATCTCTAATTATTTTCAAAATCTAACAATTAAACAAATTTTAAGCTACCCTTAATTTGTATTGATTTATGGTTGTACGACAAGTGTTGAAAGAGTATTTTCAGCTTTGGATTACATCAAGAACAAGTTTAGAAATCGAATATGTGATCAGTTCGTAAATGATTGTCTAATATGATATACATATACAATTTTTTTTGAACAATGTAGACCCCAAGTGTGTTCTACAATCATTTTTTAATATGAAAACACATCGTGAATTTTTTCAAGCGGTATGACTGAATGAGTAAGATATTTCTTATTTAAATATTATTTATTTATTTTAATTATTTTAGAATTATTTGTATTTAATTTATTTTTTAAAAGAGGACACCCCTATGTAAAATTTCTGGGTCCGCCACTGCCTCTCTCTCTCGTTTGCGAGTAGTTGCAGGAGGGATGTGGTCCAGATTCCTTTTTTTTCTTCTGGGAATAATATCGATTGGAACAAGAGAAAGCACATCAGTCGGAGGGAGGCAAGCTGGAACGGCGGGTAAAAGCGGAGTTGCATTTCGAATCCCCTATTTGTCCGTCTTCGCCGCGCGGAGTTGCATGCCGGATCCGATCAGTCGGAAACAGTGTTGTTTGTTGAGTACAACAAAGCTGACACAAGTTCCGAATTAGGAAGAAGACCCATCGTCGACAATCATGCCACCATTCATCGCTTCTTCTTCTTCTTCTGCTGGGTACTTTCTCACAGCGGCGGCGCAGCGCCGACAGACATGACGACGCCGTTGAGTAACGAATGTGGGGAAAAAATATCCCTGTTTTAAGTACCGCTGGTACAAACAAAACCGGCCGAAAAATCGCGGTAAGCAGGTTAAATAAAAAATACCGACCGGAACGGAAATTCCTCCCACACAACTGCATCATATCGGCCAACAGCCGGTTTCCTATTTTTTCGGTTCAACCGACCGGTACGATCCATGTGACAGACTAACAACAATAACAAAAAGAAGGACGGAAACTTACGAACCCGCCTAGGGCTGGCTATTTGGTCCCGGACTGTTTGGTCTTACCCGAAACCGGACCGTATAACCCGGACCGGGACCGGATAGCAAACAATGCAATCTCATATTCGGGCTTAGATTTGAGGTAAAAAACCGGATAAAGACCGGATAAGAGGCCCCCAACACCTAAAATCAAGATAAAATTGGGACCGGACCGGATCCTGGACTGTATCCAATCCAATCTTTGGTCCTTATATTCCCGAAAAGACCGGACTGGAACTTGAATTGACTGATCATTCAGATATGATACTATACTCTAACCTTTAAAGATAAAAATCTAGGTCTTAATTTTCTGAATCTTATACCCCAATATCAGTTTAATTATAAACAATAATCGGCGGTTATGATTCGTCCAAATATAGACACAAAAAAAATCAATGCACCGTCTTAGCGTTTATAGTTAATAATTTAGATAATAAGCACCCAGGGTTCACTCATTAAGGGTTAGGGTATAGTAACATGCCGAAAAATCCTGCTAATTCGAGGTCTAGATAGTGTTTTCATACTCAAGGTATGCGGTACCCCAACTCGAAGTTTGATTTAATGAAAAACAAAAATTTGACCGTTGAGATCGGCCGGAGCTCATCTAAGTACATCTAATGGCTAGATCACCCGACGTATAGTATACTTCTGACGTACACCAGTCATTTATATGGGAGTTCTACAACACCATATATTAATGTATTATTATGTGCCTAATTATAATAATTCTTTATAAGACAACGGTCCATTTTATGATATTTTATGTTGAAACCTTGACTTAACGTGATTCAACTGCTTCATACCTAAAAACCACCTACCTATTTAGCTTTCAGTAAGATGTTTTCTTGGTCAGAGTAAGATGTTTTCTTGGTCAGACCGCGTATACTGTATGATTGTACCCTGCACGTATAACTCTTTCCTCACCTTTCTCACATGGTACTCATATACCAAAGAGCTGGTGAGGACTTGGAACGCCCCCTCCTTCCGAGTTGGCAACCAAATTAGGTAGCAGAAAATAATGGCCAGTCTGGGTGATCAACACCAATGACACAGCAAAGTCCAACAGTCATGCATCGCATTCCGCAACAGGGGAACCCAAAGTGTTAGTGGCTTACAAGTTTTTGCTACAAAGTCAGTAGCCGTCCGTACTCACGGAGCTATGGGCAAGGACCAGAGCTCGCTTGAGCTGTGTTGTGCTTTTGGAAATCGATTCTCGAGCGGCTTTCAACCAGCGAACAGATCTCCTAATAATTTCTCATTCTTTCCTTTCATATAGCAAATTGTACAAAGTGCTAAATTTGAGCGGACATTTAACTTACCCAAAAATATAAAGATAATCTTCGAGCCATTTTTGCCCTTCCAGGAGGAAAAAAAGTGTGAAAGTGAACCACAGATATAAAGATAAAGATATTAAAATATAAAGATAATCTTCGAGCCAAAAATGACTGTTTAAACCAAAATGTCATTTATCCAACAGCATGTCCCCCTTGCAGTTGCAGTGATTCTGGATGAGATGAAACCCATAAGAAAACTTCTACCCCATCCGACACTATCCTTTCCTTCTTCCTGTTAGCTGACACTACATACTACTGTACTCTATACCCGCTTCGACAAAATTCCTCAGCCCACCAAAAATAATGAATTTGTTACTATCCATTTCTCAATGGAGAAGCGCCTCGCGATTCATCAGCCGAGGCCAACACCCGACAACTTAAAATGTCACGAGTATTACCGCTTAATCTTCCTTCCACTTATTAACATACCTCATGTAGGAGTTTGCAGGATTTTCCCTTGGTATGGCCCGTACACGCGTAGATCTCCTCACCACTGCCTCGTCCACTGCAACTTTGTTATCCAAATCCTTTGATCTCTTTTGCAGTTCCGCACTGCAAAATGGAAAACGGAAGTGCCAACATTTATCATTCAAGATTACCACATTATACACCAGTAGCAGCCAGCTGCACATATGTATGTATTGCTTCTCTAATCAAAAGGCAAGCAACTACAGAAATGGGAGAAAACAATGATGATTAAACTTCTGCAGTAGAAGCCCAGATCCTGATTACCCTCAGTTGGAAAGGGGACTTTTTCACAATTTCAGTCTCCATAATTCACAATCTTGGGATCTAACTATGTAACTAAATAACATGCCCTTCCAATCCCATTTCACTGCAAGGCTCATACTCCAGTTTCGAATACATAGAACTCTTACAAGGCCACTACTCCCATTTCTAGCACAAAGCGCTATTCCTCGCTGTTTCTCAGACTCTCTGTTTAAAGTTGGGATACCAAGAAAGAGGGGAAAATCAATTACCAAATTCTGCCGTAGAACTTCTCCAGCTCCTTGTGAAGGGCCCTTTCTCTCTCACCTTTTTCGTTCAGAGAACCCATTAATGCACTAAGCTGCAAATCATTCATGAAGTGTTAATATACATACAGATTAAAGAGAAGGGTTCGTCCACAGAAAATACCAATAATTAATACCTCTTCTATGCTACTATAAAATCCCCACTCTTTGGAGTCAGAATTCTCAATGAATATCCTTCCATCACGCTGGAACCACCAGTATCTGTTATAGTATCTGTCTTTACCCAAGGATTCAGTTCGTATCACCCGTTTTTCCATCTCTCGATTTAACTGTTCCTTCTATGGCACAAATGAATACAAGGGAAAATGTCAGGAAATTGTTGCAAGGACAGCAGTGCCTATAAATCCAATGCACACAGGAAAATAGTAGAGGCACGCAACCCTTTGATCTTTGCTCCTCTTCTCTGTTGGTAATCTCCGTTCATCCTTCATCTGTTTTGATGCCTCTTCACTTGTCCCTGTTTCATTTTCCGCATCCTGGTTCTGTCCCTTGCCCGATTTCTTTGAGGCAGTCTCTGAATCATTGTTGTCACTGTAAGAAGTTGTTACAAATTCCAGAAATGCAAGCGTCAGTACTAACAACATAATAGTGATGGGCATATAAAACAGGCAGTGTTGCCCATACCTTTTATCTGATGTATGGTCCTCTTCAGATGAGACCTCTGACTTGTGTTTTCTTACCGCCTCTCCGTTTTGACTACTGTGCTTATTAACAGAGACAAGTTTGCAAGGCAGACCCTCCGAATCAACCATGCAATGTCCATTGCTTACTCCATTAGCAACATCCTCAGATTTGGATCGCTCTTTCTCTTCCCGTTTTTTTCTTGCTTCTTCCAGGACCTCCCCTCTCAATGTGGCTCCAAGCACCTGTCGCTGTCCAACATACTCATCAATCTTCTTCCTGAAAATAAGTGTTTCAACTGCTTCATTGACCAACTCCCGTAAGATTCCAAGTTTCACTTGAATGTCTAAGAGGCCATAGTGTCCTCGTTTAATAGTTGACGTCGAGGCTGATAAATCAGGAGTGCCTATCCTCTCTATGAAGTCACAAAGATACTCAGTCCAATTGAGCAATGTAATCTGTAACCATAGAGAAGTGGCAAATTAGTGAAATACACCTTTGGCAATTACAATTATTCCTTCCTATTACCATAAAGCCAGAGATGATATTAGATTTTACCTTCGACTTCCTATTCCTCTTCTGTGCAGCAAAATAGTGATCTCCATCTTCTTTAAGTAGCAAACGTAGAAAAGCAGAATGTGTTTCGACAATGAGTATTATATTACTATCCTTCCTGGAGATGGCATTTTCAAAGTCTTCTAAAGAAAATGGCCACAAATGCAACAGCTTGCCAAAAGAAGAGCAATAGTCCCAGACCAGTAACAGATCTCCCACACAATCCATTGGAACATTAAATTCCCTTGAAGGTAAAGGCCGTTCAGTAAAGACTGGATCATCCGCAGCTGGTAGGACTAAAAGATCCTCAATCGGATATTTGATCAGCTCAACTTGCTTATCATCTGCAGGATCACAGAGCGAGTGAGAATATTATCAAGTCTTGATCATTTCAAAACATATGCTTCCCTTCCAACCCACAGATTGTTTCAGAACTCAACAACTAACCTGATTTACTGTCAATTGCTACATCTTTCACTTCAGCTCCATCTTCCACTTTTTTCTTTTTACACTTCCCTGACTCGTCTCCTTCCTATAAGAAGGTATATGCATGAGAATGACATCATAACTTTAATACGGAAAAAAGTACGTTACTTGTTTGAAGCATTACCCCAGCAGTTTTCCTCTTTTTATCGATGATCACTCCATCAAGGACAGAAACTTTGTCTTTTAGCTCCTCGGGTGGATCACTTGAGATGCCATGTTTTGCAGCCAAGCGCTCGTGAAGTACCCAAGGATCTCTACGGTATGTGGATTCCCGTATAAAAGACTTCAAAATGTCTCTACTACATAGTTTCTTCTTCCTTATCAGGTCATCCCCATTAACAACTGAAGTCTCCGACACCTTCTTATTCCTCTCAAGCCATCTTATCTCATAACTAGTCTTGCCATTACTGTCTCCCACAACCTTCAGTATCTTGCATGGAAAGAAAATATCACCCCTCCTAGCATGCAATTCATCCCCAACATACTTATGTTCCTGCAATTTTGCACTTATTGTGTCTGCGAGATCTTTCAGTGGAAGCATACCTGAAAAGGAGTTAAATTTAGCCATCCTGATATTATAGATCACAATGATACATAAGTAAGCACACATTCATCTTTATACACACACAGGTTTCTGTCAGACAAGCACATTGACGAATATTTCTGATAAACCTGTTAGACACTCTTAAGCATGACTTTAAAGTTAGCTTTGTGTGACATCTCAATGAATAGTTCAAGCTACACGGCTTCTGCTATAAACTAAAAGCCCATCCAATATTCCAACAATCCAGATAAGAGAAAGTCAACAATTTCAACCACCATGCATATTAGATTAAGATTTTTTTATAAGCATACAGTTCATAACGTTTCAGAGAGTTCAGAAGAACAAAAGTGGGTTAGGGAATAAGGCACAGAACATGCAGGCTGGCTCGTGTTAGAACACAGAATAATCATCATTGATCATTCAGAAGATGGACAATTAATCCTAAACAATTGTTAGGCTATACCAATAACTAGTTATGATGAGAAAGAAAGGAAACAATCAACCCTTGGTACAAAATAGCATCAAAGTCCTTACTGAACTGTATGATGTGCAAAGCAAGCTCCACAAGTTCTTTAGGAATCCCTTGAACTTTCTCTGTGGCGAGCCTTTCAGAAACTAGGGCCTCTTCATATGTCAAGTTAGCCTTGCCGCTAATTTTACAAGTCCAAATTCTTTGACGATACAAATTTATCCTGTTCACATACTCTCTGATAGATTTTAAGGAAAACAAACAGGTAAAGTCTCATTCTGGAGGCTACAAACAACAATGAAGTTCATTAAAGCAAAATCCATGAATTAACTTTGTCTACATCACCACAAAATCTTACGAACAGATCCTGTACAGCTACTGAGGACAAAGACTTTTCAAAAGAACTTATCCCTGCATTTCGTTGCTGGAACTTTAGTGATCCATGATAAGGATCTTGTTATATCCAAGGCTCAAGTCACATGTTGTAATTTGATAATTTAATATGAAGAGAAGGATACTGATAATCATGGAAGATTTCTTTGGTGTACCGAACTTGGTATACAAGGTCTTTCGGCTCCAAATCTTCAGGTGGCTCCACCAAAGGAAATGGCGTTTTTTTGAGCAAAGGCATAGTTGAAACCTCACTGGGACGGACAATGCCAAATAGATGCAGCGATCCTGATGCAAAGATTTGATACCTGGGCTGTTGAGAAGAATCACCCAAGTAAGGAGAAGCATTAGCAGAGCAATCACTCAAGGGGAGAGGGGGACGTGACCAAAACAGAAACGGAATTAGCATTATACTTAAATGAAGAGTCCGACAAAAGAAAGGTAAGGCTGTTACAGAAGATCTACAATCTCAATCCCAATCAAACAAAAATGAAGATCGTATGCTTATTATAAGACAAGCCTCGAGCTCCAAGTTCACCTATCTACACTTGACGAGAACACGCGAGAAACCCACAGGTCCGATAATCTCAAACCACCAGAACAAGCCCCAGATCAGGCGTTGATGATTCAGAGGAACCAACCAACGAGTACTTGAAACGGCTACGATTCAGAACCATGTAACGCCATTACCCCAAGAAGGAGAACACCAGCAAAACGATGAAGAAAACTTATCGTAACCAAATCACAGTAAAGAATTAACGAGAACCACGTCAATGCAATTGGAAATCGATGGAAAAAGGACTTTACTCACGAGCTCCGTCGGTCTCTTTCACCAACCCAGTAGCGCTGCTTACAAGCCACGTCCAGTTCCGGTAAGGCAATCGATGGAAACCCTAAAAATCTCCCGTTTCCCGATCCCCGAAAATGTAAGAGAAAGCGAAACTAGGAAAGAACACGTGAAACGAAGAAGAGGCACAGCGGAACTTCAATCTCAATCATGCAAACAAGGAGGAGGGGAAGCGTAGACGGAAGAGAAATGGAAGACGAAAACGAGATGCGAGATTCCACAGCACCGGGGAAAAAGAACCCGCTGGCGCTGGGAATTTTCCCGGTGGATACGAAACTGGGATTCCCGCCACGAGTAAGAAAAAACGAAATGTCGGAAGAAATATCAGTTCGGGGAAAACAGACGCGGAGAGTGGCTTACAGTGGGGGAAGTAATGAGCAGAGAGATAGAGAGGGATGGAGGACGCAGTGGTAGCTCCGCCAGCCGGCTGCTGTTCCTCCTCCTCCGCCTCTCCTGGTGGCGGTGATTTTGCCGTTTTGTTTTGGGGGAGAAACCTCCTCTCGTTTCTCTCTCGTCTCGTGTGTTAATATTTTCAGTTTGTCGTCCGCCCTTGTGGGAAACAATTAAAGGGCATTTTATAGTCACACTGTGATACATGTGGGTGGGCAACGAGAAACGGGTATTTGAGTATACCCATACCCGTCCCGTTTTTTGAGGGTTACGAGTACCCAAATACCCATTTTATTTATAGCGGGATGGGACTTAGGATTGTAAGTTTCTACAATGGGTACCGCGGGTAACCCGGTAATACCCGTTTGGGTAATACGGGTACCCGTTATACCCGTTACAACAAATATTGAAAATTCTAAAAGTGAAAATGTGAAATATAACCCGGCCCAACTCGACTACTCCAGCCCAATCGACATTTCAGCCCGTCCATTTTCAAGACCTAGCCTCTAGCGAAAGTGAGACCGTCTCACCTCTCGTCCTCGTGCTCTCCCCGACTCCCTCCCTGGACTCTCAAACACAGACTTACAGATGGCGGCAATGTGAAACGGAAAGGGAACAGGGAAATGCAAAAAGGCAGCAGAAGTGAGAAGATCAGAAGACTAGGGCAATGGGTGACTTTTCTTTTCTCAAATGTTGGCAGGTGTGACTTTGTCCCTTTCTGGACACGTTTTTTATTTGTAGGCAGGGTAATGGGTGCCTTTTCTTTTCTCATCTGTTGGCAATGGTGACATTGTGATTGTCCCTTTCTGGACAGTAGGCTGCTATGGTTGATTTCTCTATGAACAGTAGTAGCATTGTTACTCTTTTCCTAGGTATCAACGGGTTAAACGGGTATAAACGGGTACCCGTTATCCGTCCCGTACGGGTAATGGGTACCCGTTTCCCATACAGGTTTGGGATATGGGATGGACTTTGACCTCCAAATGGGACTGGGTACCCATTTCAAACGGGACGGGTATCCCGTCCCGTCCCGTTGCCCACCCCTAGTGTTATCAAGTAGGGACAAGCCCAAATAAGCAAGAGGCAAAGGACTTGAGAAAGGTATGGAAATGTCATAACGCACAAGCCCAACAAAACTTAGAAAAACATTTACAGTACAACCCAAGTAGAGTGTGGGAATGGGATGCGACTGGGTATCCGTCCCGTTTGAAACGGGTACCCATTCCTATAACTCGTACGGATTAATGGGTACTCATTATCCATACATGATGGATAACATATATCCGAAAGTAACCCATAAAAGTCTCACGTAGGAGCCGTGTTATTTACAAAAGTTGAGGTCAAAGAAGTGGAGAGTCTTGGCGGTTATGGGCTTCGTGGCATTAGGCCCATCTCCGAGGGCGGCGGATGGTGTGTTAAGCTTTTAAGTGTTGAATTGATGGAATCTTACATGTGTGACGGTGATAATGCAATCAGAGGGTTTCAAACATCTGGAAGAGAGTTGTCCGACATTGTTGCACGAGTTGCTGAATCCAATTGCAACAACGTATGGAGATGTGGTTGTGGCAGAGTCTAATAATCTCACAAATAAGCGTATGAGGAGGCATTACTAGAGATAAGGTGAGAAGAGACTGGAATATTCCTCAAGAAACTGGTATTATAATTTGTTAATTAATTAACTAAGTTGGAGCTATGTGTGAGGTTTGTTGTAAGTTTGAAATTTATTTTCACTAATTTCAAATTAATTTTCAACATAATACCTATTTTCAAATTTTCCAAAAATCTGAACAAGAAATCAAAGAAATAAAATAAAAATAAACGAAAATAAAAATGAAAATGAAAATAAATTTTGAATAATTTATTTTCACTAATTCCAAATTAATTTTCCACAAAATATCTATTTTGAATTTTCCACAAATCTGAACAAATAATCAAAAATGGAAACAAATTAATGAAATTTTAATATTTAAGTAACTAACAAATTCAACCATTTATTTTCACTAACTTACAATTAATTTTCCTCATAATATTAATTTTTATAATTTTTATTTACATAATTTTATTTTTAAATAGAAAACCCATTTTTACACCATGTGGCAGCCACGTCATCAATATTAGGTGATTGAGCTGTGACAAGGTAGGTTGACCGTTAGTCAGCGACTTTGACTTTCAAACATAACGATCAACATTTGGCTCGGGCCAATTAAGTTATTTTAACTGATTGTTTAGGCCATAACGTTATAGATCGAAAAGATTAGACAAGGTGTTAAATATGTGAAAAGTTTAGGTCATATAAATATACTAACCCTAAAAACAAACCACGAGACTTCTTAAGCACACCACAACACTTCCAATGCACACCATAAAATCTTAAATTGTTAATATCCGTAATCTGTTCGTAATAAAAACCATAGTCATAGCAATTCCCACCATAAATGTCATAAAATTATCATGACTCACTACAATGCAAATCACTTTGTAGTTTTCTAGTAAATATCATCACAAAAATGAAATGATCAAGTGCTCATTTCTTTCATCATTGCTTACAGGCGTCACATCAAACAATTTGGAGTTTGACTACACTAGTTAGGGGTTGGTTTCCAAAACCATTGACGAAACAAAACAGTTATACAGTAACTATGCTCATGATCTTGGCTTCAGCGTGAGGGACTGGGAACTGTCAAACGTTCTATAAAGAGTCAGCCAACCAAAAAAGCACGATATGTTGGATATTGCTGCAGCAAACAAGGATACAAGACAACAAGCAAGTCAAATCTCATGAATAAAGGATCAATCGATGTCAAGGCTTATCAACTCGTTGTACAGAAAACTAGAGTTGGCTGCTCGACTCTAATAAAATTTGGATATGATATAAAAGAGGATGGATGGCTGCTACACAAGTGGATAACACAACACAATTCAAGCATTTGTTGATGTTAAACAAGGGGATGTCATAAATTAATGCAATGGTCGCGCAAGTGCATGCAGATTGTGGAGTTTCATTACGACAATCATTCGAGTTGTTCACCAAAACTTCAGGGGGGAGGCTGAATGTCCCTTTTACCCCTCGTGATATGAAGAACTATATCCCAGGGAGGAGGCAAAAATCAATGAAACCAGGGAAAGCATTCCATGGCTTGTGTACTTTCCATATCAAGTAGAATGCAGTGAAGTATCTTGACACTACAAATACAGACATTCTAGAAGATTTGAAGTACGTCACTTTGCAGTAGAAAATGAAGAAGAATTTGAATACAATTGGTCAAAGATGCTTCAGACATATTATCTATAAGAAGGCTCCAATCCAAGAAACTGGTTGGATTCAATTTACAAGGTCAGGAAGTAGTGGTCTTTGACATGGGTTAAGGACCACTTCACAGTTGGCATGAGAAGCTCACAGCTGAGTGAGTCTTGTTAACTACCTTCAACCGGATGACAACCTAGTTGAGTTCTTCACATACTTCAACAAGATGCTCGTGCGGAAAAGATCGGAAGAAATGGACATAGATGATTTAATGGAAAACACAATGCCAAACAACGTGCATGTGTTGCTTCCTTTATTTAAAATTTTGCACTATAGAATGCATCCAGAAGTCTCCTTATGCACACCAGTTGTAGTAGCAAAGAAACCACAATTGCTTTAAACGTACCAAAACACTAGAATGCAACCCACATAACGGTTAAAACAACCCATAAACCCTACAATCCCCATCACAAACATTTCAAAACATACCATACATTCACTTATATAGACCAGATGCTTATGAAAAGTTGTATGTTTTATTTCATCGTACAACAGGTATGACAGAAAGCCTACTTGTTCAGCAAGCCACGAAGCTATACACAACTAAGATCTACAATTTTTTTCTTGATGAGTATTTAGAAAGCCTTGCATTTTTTGTGTTTCGGAATGAAACTATAAGCAAAGGTGGAATGACAGCATATGAAGTGAAGAAACTGGGAGGATTCGATAAAAGAGTCGTGTTAGTGAACAAAGAGGAGAAAAATACGAGTGCTCATGTCGTTTGTTTGAAAGTTCAGGCTAGTTGTCCAGACATATAATGAGGCAGATAGAGATGGTTGGATTTAATGATGATGTTATTGAGCAATTGAATATCCCTAATGAATACATTATGTCTCGATGGACGAAAGATGCCAAAAATGGAGAGAACTTAACAATCAACACAACTGAATGTGCTGCAACAAATACTTATGTAGGGAGGTATCAAGAACTGTATGCTAACATGGTTATCCTGGCAACAAAAATGTCAATGAATGACAAGGTCTACTCAATGGTTAAGAAAAATATTGTGGAGCTCTCACAACAAGCTTGCCAAATGCTTTAGAGTCAATGAACTGAACAAATATAACGTGTTAATTTCTCATACTTTGTTACCATTTCTATTTATGCTCAATAGTAAAAATCCAATCCAAGCCACTAATGGGCCAATGCAGGCCAAAAGTGGCCTAATCCAAACCAATACCAGTTGAATCAAGCAAATGAAACACGCTTCTTATCTTGCATGTTGCTTCTTCGATAATTGCAGCCACCAATCCATCGCCCTCACCAAGTGCTGCTACTTCAGCTATGAGTGAAAAATATGCAAATGTAAAGGGATTCAAGGCTCGACAAGACCCATGATAATAAAAAAGAGGCCAAAAGGTGGACTTGGGAAAGCGCTAGAAAGGACCAGAAAGCAGAGACTTGACAAACATGCTGCCAACAAGCATTCAAAAAGCAACAATGAGTGATTAGTCTCCTAGTTTTTATCCATATCCATTGTTATTCA